AAAAAAAAAAGATTTTATTTTTAAGTAATCTCTACACCCAACATGAGGTTCGAACTTACAACCCCAAGATCAAGAGTTGCATGGTCTACCAACTAAGCCAGCCAGGGGCCCTGGGAAGTTTGTACCTCTTAATCAATCCCCTTTTCCTATTTCCCCCAATTCCCCACCCCCTTCTCCTCTGGTAACCACCAGTTTGTTCTCTGTATTTGAGTCTGTTCTTTTTTTGTTTTGTTTTATTTTTCAGATTCCACGTGTAAGGGAAATTATATGGTATTTGTCTTTCTCTGTCTGACTGACTTCTCTTAGCATAGTATTTCACTTGGCAAAATGGACTTCTAGGTTACTTCTAGTTACATCCATGTTACTGTAAATGGCAACATCTCATTCTTTTTTATTGCTGGGTAATATTCCATTGTATATATATAACTCATCTTCTTTATCCATTCATCTATTGGTGGGCACTTTGGTTGCTTTCCTATCTTCCCTATTGTAAATAATGCTATGATAAACATAAGGGTGCATCCATCTTTTGGAATTCTTTGGGCAAATACTCACTACTAGAATTACTGGATATAGTAATTCTTTTTTTATTTTTTGAGGACCCTCCATACTGTTTTCCACAGTGGTTGCACCAATTTACATTCCCACCAACAGCACATGAGGGTTCCTTTCTCTCTACATCCTTACCAACACTTGCTATTTCTTGTCTTTTTGACTAGTTATTCTGTCTGGTGGGAGGTGACAGCTCATTGTGGTTTTGATTTGCATTTTGCTGATGATTAGTGATATTGAGCATCTCTTCATGTACCTGTTGCCCACCTGTATGGCCAAAAAAGTACTTTTATATTTAGAACACTCAACTTACGAGGTTAACTTTTCCATTCAACATTTTTGATATTATATCACACAATCTTAATTTGTTATGGACCAAGTTAACAAAGTAAATAAAACATCTCCTTTAACTCCTATCAAGCTTTTAACTTTTTAATGCACCTTAACAACAAAGTAAAACAAAGAATGACTATCAAACTCATTTTTTCTGTGAAGAAACTAGCTGCATCATTTGGCTATGGTCACACGATGAATAAAGGTCAGAACTTAGATCCCAGGACTCTTAAATTCCTTTCCATGACATACTTGCCCATCATGAGAGAGACAAGATTCTTACAAAACCACATGGAACAGTGAGGCACAGTAAGTATAACAAGACTAATACCACATGCAGTAGAAATTATATGAGAAAATATCTGTTAAATGTTAACCCCAGCTGTTTTACTTTAGTAATCATAATAGCTAAAACAAAGAACATCCACCTTGAATAGCACTCACATGTTGAGAAGGGAGAGTGTTTATCTGTTCACTGCTCTGCTGTACCACAACAGTCTCAGTATTATCAGTTTCCAATTTCTTCCCAGATACGTATTTTTCTGCTACTGTAGTCTCTCTCTTTAAAGTTGCTCTTGCTAAGTTTGGTTTTGGTCTTTTGAATCGACTTCTCACAAAAGGTGCTGGTTTAACTTCAAGTGGCTTCTGCTCTTGAGGAAGAGATTTGCTTTTGGAAAAAGGATTATCGAACGTTAGAAAGAGTTGAAGGGACGACAAGAACAGAGTCTTAGGACAACTTGAGAAATTGGCAGTAAATATTAAATCTAATTTTTTTTAAGATTTTATTTATTTATTTGACAGAGAGATAGCAAGAGCAGGAACACAAGCAGAGGGAGTGGGAGAGGGAGAAGCAGGCTTCCTAATAAGCAGGAGCCCAATGTGGGGCTTGACCCCAGGACCCTGGGATCATGACCTGAGCCGAAGGCAGATGCTTAACAAATGAGCCACCCAGGTGCCCCTAAATCTAATTCTTAACAGGAAAACAAATTGGACTATTTGGTAGATCCTAAAAAATATGAGGAGTACAAATGAAGTATAAGCCTATCATCTGTGCAGAGAGAAAATACAGGTTCTCACACCCATATTGACTTAGGAATATGTGTTACATACAATTCTGATGTTAGTAATTCTCTCAATCTACTGTCACAACGACCTCAAAATTCTCTCCAAACATCCCAAAGCTTAAAATCTGTAACACTATGCTAGAGATGATTTGTCTTGAAACCTTACTGATAATCTGATAATATAACTTTAGATGCTTTGTCTTGGGCGCATGGGTGGCTCAGTCAGTTGAGCATCTGCCTTTGGCTCAGGTCATGATCCCAGGGTCCTGGGATCAAGCCCCACATCGGGCTCCCTGCTCAGCAGGGGGCCTGCTTCTTCCTCTTCTTACCCTCTCCCTGCTCTTGCTCACTCTCTAATAAATAAAAATCTTTAAAAAAAAATTAAAACTTTAAAAAATAGATGCTTTGTCTTTAAAAGCACATAGACCAATATACTTGTACCTTAAATTAATATCTGAAAACTGCTCTGGAACATCTGGAGAGAGCATCCCCTGGTCTTCCGTTTTATCAAGTTCAGAAGTCTGCAAAGAAGTCTTCAAACAACTCAAGTGACCTGACAGTTCCTTTTCAGAATTCCTTTTTTCTTCTTCAGGTGTACACACCATGGATAGTACTTCACTGCTAACGTTCTGGAGGAATAGTCACAGGAAATCAACCACAGTAAATCAGCACAAATGGATAATGTCACAACTGTGTGAACTTAAAGTAACTAGAAACTTTTGGGTTTTTAAAGATTTTATTTTTAGGTAATCTGTACACCCAACGTGCAGCTCAAACCTACAACCCCAAGATCAAGAGTCACATGGTAAAAAAAAAAAAAAAAAAGTCACATGATCCCCCAACTGAGCCAGCCAAGCAACCCCACTGGAAATATTTAATAAATTTTAGGGGCACCTGGGTGGTCAGTCACCTGGACGTCCAACTCTCGATTTCAGCTCAGGTCATGATTTCGGGGGTGTGGGATCACGCCCCACATTGGGCTTTGTGCTGACCATGGAGCATGCCTTAGATTCTTTCACTCTCTCCCTCTGCCCCTACAACATTCGCACTCTCTCTCACTCTCTTTCTAAAATAAAACTTAAAAATTTAAAAACAAAGAAAAAAGAAAATTTAAAAGTGGATTGGGGGTGGGGGGCACCTGGATGGCTCAGTCAGTTAAGCATCCAACTCTTGGTTTCAGCTCATGATCTCAGGGTTCTAAGATTGAGCCCTACGTCGAGCTCCACGCTCAGTGCAGAGTCTGCTTGGGATTGTCTCTCTCCCTCTGCCCCTCCCACTCACTCTCTCTAAATAAATAAATAATCTAAAAAAATAAAAATAAAAGTGGAGTGGGACAGGAAATAAAAACTGAGAAAGACATTTGGTCGAAAGAAATAATTCTAATGCATGTTCATACTAGAGTTAGCACTAACTCAGTCCAATTCCCTACACTCCTTTTAGCTAAGAATAACTTCAAACTGACACTAAGAATGGTAACTTATCCACAATTAAATATTTTTTAAGTTTTTTTTTTTTAAAAAATGCATAGTTTCTTTAAGGTCCTAAAACACAGAATTTACAGCTGGGAAAGACTTTAAGCTTTTAGAGATTTTAAATGTTATGGGATTTAAGAGCAATAATCACGGTTTTTATTTTGATAATTTTTCTCTGAAAAAATGTTCAAAAACAGTTTTTCTAAAGAACAGAAAAAGACATACTTTGATATTTAGTGAAGGCATAGTGCTGCAGCAACTACTACTGCTCTGCATTAAATCTGTGTCCATTTGTCTTGAGGTCCCAGCCTCTTCTTCTCCATTTTTCCTTAGAGAAATGTCTATTTTTCCAGTTTTTTCCAAATCTGCAGCCATTTCTTCAAGAGCATTAATCTCTTCTGATCTGCTTTTCTTCAGGGAAATGTCTCCTCCAGTTTCTTCTGATTCCGCCTCTGTTTCTTCAGTAGCAGTCGTCTTTCCTGATACCTCTTCCATCACAGAAAGGTCTCTTTCTTCAGTTTCTTTAAAATCAATCTCCCTTTCCCCTACAGCACTGATCCCCACTAGTACCTTTTCCCTCAGGGAAGTTCCTTTTTCAATTTCTTTCCAATCTGTCTCCATTTCACCTTGAGTCTTGACCTGTGGGGCCTTTCCTTCTGTGTCTATTTCTCTTCTTTCAGTTTCTTCCAAATGTGTTTCTCTGTCCTCAGTAGCATCAACCATCTCTGGTACATTTTCCCTTACAGAAACCTCACTTCCAGTTTCTTCTAAACCTGTTTCTACTTCATCTGTAGTGCTGACCTCCAAGGTATTTTCCTGTAGGGATATTTCTCTTCTTCCAGTTTCTTCCAAATCTGTCACTCTTTCCTCAGTAACATCAGACACCTCTGATATAGTGTCCCTTGGGGAAACCTCTCTTCCAGTTTCTTCTAAACCTGTTTCTACTTCATCTGTAGTGCTGACCTCCAAGGTATTTTCCTGTAGGGATATTTCTCTTCTTCCAGTTTTTTCCAAATCTGTCACTCTTTCCTCAGTGACATCAGACACCTCTGATATAGTGTCCCTTGGGGAAACCTCTCTTCCAGTTTCTTCCAAATCTGTCACTCTTTCCTCAGTGACATCAGACACCTCTGATATAGTGTCCCTTGGCGAAACCTCTCTTCCAGTTTCTTTCAAATCTGTCTCCATATCTACAGTGTTGTCCATCATTTCTGGTATCTTCTCTCTAGGAGAGTTGTCTCTTTCAGTTTTTTTTAAATATGACTCCATTTCCTTAGTAGTATTAGCCTCCACTAATACCCTCTCCCTTGGTAAGGTTTCTTCCACTCTCGTAATTTCTCTCAAAGGTGCTGTGAATTGCCCAGATGCAACAATCTCCTCTGACACCTCTTCCTTTGAGAAAACTTCTCTTCTTCTAGCTCCTCTTCCTATATTTGGCTTTGGTTTCTGAAATCGAGTCTTTAGAACTGGGACTTTATTATCTTCTTGAATACTATATATTTAAAAAAAAAAAAAATACAAATTTTAAAGCATACTGCCAGCTGAAGAAATGATGGTTGAGAAAATACTACTGAAAGACGAGGAATTCTCAAACAAAAAAATAAAAAATAAATTAAGAAAGCCTCAGGTATCTCTGGGTAAAACCTAAAAGTTAAAAGGAGAGGGGGAAAAAAAACCCATGTTTTGAAATTACAAATTTTTAAAATAAATATATCTACTCATAGAGAGACATGGATAAAGAGAAATCTATCAATAAGGTCAAGTACAGTAGTAGTCAACTGGCTCTGAACAGTCTCTAATTGTCATCCACACAATCCTTCCCAAATACTGGCTAAGGGTCCCCAGTCCTCTGCATTGGAGCTAGACCAATTTATGTCTACTATTCCTACCTCTTGGCACCTCCTATCTTTTATCCAGACATATGCCCTGCCATAAGAGTTAAACAACACATTTATGTGGCCAGATATGACCAGCATCTCAAACAGCCAGATTGAAGTATGATCTGAACAAGAAAGTATAAGAAAGGCCAGACTTCAAATGTAAAGATTGATAAAATACGAGTAATAGTTGAAACTACATAGTAATGCACAGAAGTCCACTATTCTGTTCTCACTACTTCTGTGTACATTGAATATTTCCAAAGGAAAAACATTTTCCAAAGTATACTAATAATTCCATCGATTTTGTTTCGTACCCTCCAGACGGGAAATAACAAAAGAAAGAGCCACATGTGGCTAGGAGAAGTATTGGGTTTCTATATATGGGTTTTATAAAAAATTTATGTGAACCTTAAATAAAGATCATATGTGGATCAATCTAATCCCAAAGAAGCAAATAGAAGAAAATAAGTTTCATTTCACATTTGGACACAGACATTTAATCTAACATGTATTAATTCAGGTCTAATTTATGATGAGTATATCAACTCATCAAATCACGAGTAACAGAAATTAACGTGGAAGTTATGACATAGGGGCGCCTGGGTGGCTCAGTCATTAAGCGTCTGCCTTTGGCTCAGGTCATGATCCCAGGGTCCTGGGATCGAGCCCCCAGTTGGGCACCCTGCTCTGTGGGAAGCCTGCTTTTCCCTCTCCCACTCCCCCTGCTTGTGTTCCCTCTCTCATTCTGTCTCTGTCAAATAAATAAATAAAATCTTTAAAAAAAAAAAGAAAGCTATGACATAAATTGCCCTGAAAAGTGAAGTTATATTGTGAATATTAGGTAATTTGATACACAAATATTAATCTGATTTGCTTTTGTTTTTAAAAATTGATTAAACATTCCTAAAACTTTATACTAAATTCAAAGATTACATAACCATTAAGATGATGCTTACCTTACACATTCATTAACGTTCATTTGAAAAAAATTATCTTCTTTCTCAGATTGTAATGTGATGTCTTCAAAGTCAACATTTTTACATGACTGATCTTCTACTTGTTCAGGACTCTTAATAACAAACACATTTTTAAGGTTTCTCAATGAAACACCCATTTATAAAAAATTGCATTGAAAATTTTATCCAATTTGAGTACAAGGAAAATGGTAAACATTTCAAAATTATAAAATTATATTCAAAGGACACTTTTTTTAGTGTTATTTAAATATTTTTTAAAATTTCACAAGCTATACCTTCTACCTTATCTCAAAGCCCCCATTCTTTTCCTCCTAATCAGAAAGCAAGTTACAGCGCTTCAGTCTCGTCTATTAGAGTTATTCCCAGGGGTCTGTCTTCTGATTAGTACCATTACAGTATAGACCTTGAGAATTATAACAAAAGAAATTCAAATCTAACTATGATCTGAACTCTTACCCTTATCACAAAGACTAGTTATTATGTAAATAACCTAAAATTCATCATCTTTTGTTCTTGGAATTCTATTTTAGTAGGAAGCTTTTAACATTTTACTGTGTTTAAGCCAGAGTTAAAATTCACATATCTAGCTATATTTTCAAAAAGGAAGCGTAATTCAAATACCTAAATGATGGGGAGGGGGAGGCAAGTCAAACACGACGTAATAAGATCAAAGCAGATGCTCCATTATGTAAATGCCCAAAATCTAGATTGCTGAGAGTTAAATGGCTTTGCAAGTAGCAAAGCTGCTGGCTCTGAGATTTTGGCTTTAAATTTAATATACAATGTACACAACTGTACAGTCTTGCCCTTTAAAGAGGGAGGTAAAAGAAGGCTTAAGTACTTGTTTAACAAAAAAAATGGCAAGAATCAGAGTACTTACATCTCTAGTAATACAGGATTGACTTTCACTCTTTTTTACATTGGCCTCAATTTTTTCCTGTGATGCAAGAATTTCTTTTCTTTCAGCAGCTTTACCTACATTTGGCTTCGGCCTTTGCAATCGGCCCCTCATTAGTCGTGCTGGTCTGACAGCCTTCGTTTGATCATCTTCCTGCAGACCAATTTTTTCACTAGAACTACAAAAGAATAGAATTATGGTTATTCTGAAGTCACATGTTTGTTTTCAGTATTCTCTTCTCCAAGGTATGAATAAGTAAACCATTTGGAATATAAAAATAATTACAAGTGTCCTCAAATACATCCTCAAAGATACTCCTGTTTCTATACCTTAACACTTTGGGACAGACATAATCCTGGAACCCTAACTATAAAAATCATTTCATCACAAAACTGGAAAAGAATCTATATTTGACAGACAATACCATTCTCCACTAAGACTACTACTAGTTTGTAACGTATACCTCCAGGGCACTAGACAAAGATTACAGCATAAATGTACAGTCCAGAATCCAATGGTTCAAATTATTAGAATAAGACTTACTCTGAATCTGCATTCCCAGTTAAATATTCCCTTTTGAAACCTGCTATACATAAAATTATCCAGAAATATGTATCTTAACAATTAATCTAACAAGACTTTGTTAAAATCCTGTTAGTAAGTTGAGAAAGAAATGTAACTGCGAACCCAATGGATCCGTATCATAATTTATTTCTCCAGTAGCATAAAGAACACTACTGAAATGTTTCAACACACCTACAGTTAAGAGAAGACTTAAGTACACTAAACGGAAATAAAATTCAGACATTATCAAGTACAGAACTTATCAGAGTCACTCTTAAAAGCTACTACATTTATTCTACTTCCTAAATACTTACGTAGATACAGTCTCAGCTTCTGGGTTCTCTCTCTCTGTATTCCCCATTCCAGAAATGTCCAATGTTTTCACTTTATCCTTTTCCATATGATTCTATAAATTCAATTTTTTACATTTTATTGACTTAACATAAAAAAGTCCAAACTTCATAATAAATGGAAATTAAAACAATGACATTTCATTCTTTGTTCTTCTAATTGTAAGAATTTTATAAATCATTGATGCAGCTGTGAACATTATAAAGCATATAATCCCATCTATTAACTGACAGGAACAAAAATTGGTATATCCTTTCTGGAAAGCTTTTTGCCAATATAAAATCAAGAGCCTAAAAAATGTTCATACTCAGGGCACTTAGGTAGCTCAGTTGGTTAAGCATCTGCCTTCGGCTGGGGTCATGATCTCAGGGTCCTGGGATCAAGCCCCATGTTGAGCTCCCTGCTCAGAGGAGAGTCTCCCTCTCCCTCTGCCCCTTCCCCCCACCACTTGTGCACGCTCGCTCTCTCTCCCTCTCAAATAAATAAAATCTATTTTAAAAGTGTTCATACTGGGGATGCCTGGGTGGCTCAGTCGTTAAGCATCTGCCTTTGGCTCAGGTCATGATCCCAGGGTCCTGGGATTGAGCCCCGCATCGGGCTCCCCACTCCGTGGGAAGCCTGCTTCTCCCTCTCCCACTCCCCCTGCTTGTGTTCCCTCTCTTGCTGTGTCTCTGTCAAATAAATAAACAAAATCTTTAAAAAAAAAAAAGTTCATACTGTAATACCATTTCTAAGACTCTAAGTAAATATTCAGACAAAGTACAAGAATGTTTACTAGAACATTATATAAAATGCCAAACACTGCGAACAGACAAAATATCCAATAATGAGTAAATGGTTAAATTCAGTTATACCCACTGACAGAATATTATGAAGTCACTAAAGACCATGTTTTCAAAGAATATTTAATAATATGGAAAAATATTTAAGAAATGTTAAGAACCAAAGAAGGATACAAAACTGAATACTAATAAATTTTGTAATAGGAAAAGTTGGAAAGATATATGCTAAAAGGTTAGTTGCAGCTGGATAATGAAATCACAAGTAATTTTTGTCTTAATTTTTACAATAATCTGTAGCTTCCCAATTTTGTCGAATTTTACAAGACTATAATAATACGATTGTATTACAAGAAGTATAATAAAAAGTATTTAACCTAAGAGGGAAAAAAGCTAACACTTTAAAATGTATTTTAGCAAAAATAAAAAATTTATAACAATGCCAGCAGAAATATACAAAAACAGGAACATTCGTTTAATGCCTGTAGCAGTGTAAATAAATTCTTTTTTTTTTGACTGTCACTTGACAATGCATAACAAAAGCCAAGAAATATTTAAAACACTCTGACTCATTAATCTCACCTCCTGTGGAAATTTATCCTCTGCTTTTTTCCTTAAGAAAGGGCTACTTACAAAACCATTTGCTTTTATTTATGAGAGTTTAAAAAAATGGAAACGATTTAAATGTCTACCATTAGAAAAATGCTTAGGTAAATTATTATGTTAACCTGATGCAGCTATTAAAAAGATTAACCCCAAGAAAAGGTTAATGAGTAGTTTCACAGAAAAAAGTTTTAAATATTATGTATGTTATGATTAAAACCTACAGAAATGTTTTCATATATAAAAAGAAAGACAAAGATTATGAAGGACAGGAATATGTCAGTCTGTGGAAAGGACTACGGATATAATTTGATGGAAAACTGGTTAAAAACATTTTGAATACAAAATTTATGTAAGTAGGGGCGCCTGGGTGGCTCGGTCATTAACCGTCTGCCTTTGACTCAGGTCGTGATCCTGGGTCCTGGGATCAAGCCCCACATTGGGCTCCCTGCTCAGCAGGGAGCCTGTTTCTCCCTCTCCCTCTGCCGCTCCCCCTGCTTATGCTCTCTCATGCTCTTTCAAACAGATAAATAAAATCTTTAAAAAAAAAAATACTTTAATTTTTAAAAATTTAGATAAGTAAACAAAAGAGATTTTTCACTACTGAGTATGTTTGAAATGATATGTCCTAGGTTCTAAATGCATAAACAGGAGACAAGACACATTTAATATTCATGTGTTCCTGTATCTTTGTTTTAGTATCAGTTATATTATCATGTAGTTACAAACTAAACAGTTTATTCCCAACTACTTAGGGAAAATTTTTGTAATTTTATTTTCTATAAAGTGTCTTACTCCATACCTTTTCAACTGAAGTTTCTGCACGTAAACTCTTGTTCTCCGCATCTGTTTTACCTTGTGAAAGAACAGATTTCTTCCCAACTGCCCTTGATAAATTGGGTTTGGGTCTCTGTAGTTGTCTTCTTCCCATCAGTTTAACATTTCCTGACTGATCAGTTTCCCTAAAAAATGAATTATTTTTTATTTTTTTTAATGAACATTATTTAAATAGCACCAACATGGAGGCTCAGTCAAATAAAATTCTGAAATATTCTTTAAAAATCCACTCAGAGGCAGAAAAGAAGTCCTTTAGGCTTACTTAGAGTAAGAGTAGCAAAGAGAACTGAAAAACAAGAGCCATGAGGAGGTAACTTATTTTACCAGATGCTAAAAAGAAACTATTCAGCATCAATAATTAAAACACTGGTACTGATATGTGAATAAACAGATAAATGAAACACAAAAGAAAATTTAGAAGATGACTTCAAAACACATGAAAGTACTATATAAAAAAGGCCGCATTTCAAAACAGCGAGGATGAAATACAGAATAATGTACTGTTACAAATAATATCAAAGCAATGGTGATGTGAAAACTAACACTGGGGACTAAAATAAAATTAGCTCCATTCCTTGCACTGTACTCATAATATGTTCCAATGCATCAGAGTTAAATAAAGCCACACAGTAAACACGGATGAATTCTTTTATAACCTTGAGTTGGGGTAAGCCTTCATAAAGTTTAACTAAAAATTCAGGAGCCATGAAAGAAAAACAAAATTGAGAAATATAACCACATAAAAATCAAATACTTCTACATGACTAAGTCAGAAGTCAAACTACCAACCAAGAAAGCATGTTTTGCAAATCAAAAAACAAGGCTTATCTCCCTAAAATAAAAAGAGCTCCTACAAACAATAGCATCAAAAACTCATTTTAAAAATGGACAAAGAGGGGCGCCTGAGTGGCTCAGTCGTTTGAGTGTCTGGCGCCAGCTCAGGGCGTGATCCCAGGGTCCTGGGATCAAGCCCCACATTGGGCTCCCTGCTCAGCAGGGAGCCTGCTTCTCCCTCTCCTACTCCCCGTGCCTGTGCTCTGTCAAATAAATAAATAAAATCTTTGGAAAAAAAAAAAAAGGACAAAATATGAACTTAAAAAACAAAATAAAAATAGGTTTTAAAAAAAGCACAAATTAAGGGGGGAGGGAGACGTGCACACCTGTGCAAGCAAGCACAAATGTAATATTAGGAATTAGAGAATCTAAGGAGAATTATATACAAATGTTCGTTGTTCTATTCTTTTGACTTTTCCTTAGGTTAGAAATTTTTTAAATAAAAAACTCAATAAAAACAAAGCATTACATACCCCTGCCAAAAAAGGAAGAGTGGGATGGAGATAGTATACGGAAGTATTATTTTTTAATCTATTCAAGATCAGCATAAACCCTAGTTTGATAAACACCATTTTCTGTTAAGGGAGACATTTCTTACAATGTTGGTGGGAATGTAAACTAGTATAACTCCTGTGAAGAACACTTTGGAAGTATCTCTCAAAATTCTCAATGTGTATATGTGTATACACACACACATATATACATTGCAGCAAGCAATTCCAGTCTGAATACTCACCCTACAAATACAGATGACCTTTGAACAACACAAGTTCAAGCTGTGTGATTCCACCTATACACAGATTTTTCTCAATACAGTACAGTACTGTAGATGTATTTTCTCATTATTATTTTAAGGCATTTTGTTTCTCTAGCTTACTTTAATTTTAAGATTACAGTATATAATACATATAACATACAAAATATGTGTCATTCAACCAATTACGTCATCAGGCTTCCAGTCAACAGTAGACTATTAGTAGTTAAGTTTTGGAAGAGTCAAAGTTATTTGTGGATTTTCAACTGCAAAGGGGTCAGCATCCCTAACCACTATGTTGTTCCTAAGGGTCCACTGTACTTACATACAGTCAAAGGATAGAAATTAAAGATTTTAAGCACTGTTTGAAAAAACAACCTATCTAGCCATCAGCTGGGCTTTGATAATATAAACTCTAATCCATCTACACACCAGGACACTATGAAGTGCTCACTTCAGCAGCACATATATACTGGAACACTACATACTATGCAGCTACCCAAAATAATAAGGAAGATCTTTATGCAAAGATATCAAGACATAAAACCAAAAAACTGCAAAATGGTGTCTGTGTGTGTATATAACACACACACACTATCATTAGGATTTTAGGAAGAGTAAAAAAATATAAAGAACATACATTTGTATTAGTTTTAAAGTACTTTTTTTAAATCTCTGAAAGAATAGAAGAAATAAATTACACAAGTTACTTAGAGCGAATGTGGACATGGAAGGAGGGATATTTCACTCTATATCTTTTTATACTTCTAGGTGTTTGAGCCATAAGACCATATTGCCTATTCCAAAGACTAAATTTTTATTTAAAAAAAAAAGTTTCATTCTCATTGTGACTGTGCTTTACTGAAAATAAGTTTAAGAATTCATAAACTAAACAGCCTTTAAGCCTATATGAGGAGTTTAGGAGGGACCCAAAAAGGAAGTCTGAATTTCTGAGCTGTCTCTTCAAAGGCAGATTCTTGTAGTGCTTTTATTTTGTTTTTAGTGCAAATGTTAATCAGTATCTGCACACTAGAAAACATAATAATTTCTTTGAAGTCATCAATATAAAAAATCTACAACTTTGAAAAATTACTCAAACCAAGTAAAAGTATCTAACAGCAAATGTTAAGGCTTCAAATTATTTTAGGATTTCGGGGCGCCTGGGTGGCTCAGTTGGTTAAGCAACTGCCTTCGGCTCAGGTCATGATCCTGGAGTCCCTGGATCGAGTCC